TTCGTTGTTGAATCTGTGTGAGTCTAGAGGGTACGTAGCCGGCCTCTCCAGCATTGCATACAGTGCTCTCCTTAATTCGTCATCCTTCTCCACGTAGAACATTAGCTTTGTCAATAGATTCAAGATCGATTCCTTAGGGTTATTCACCCCTGTTAAATCATAGTTCTCTTCTCTTTCCGTGTCGCTGTTCTCTGACCCTGTCATTTTTTTTCTCTTATTTTTGGTGTCGACGTCGTAAATGTTTGGTTAACACCGATTGCAATACCGTAATTATGCTTCTCTATTTCCCCTTCTCTTGTATTCAATATACTTCTTTGTATTTCTTCCTCTCTGCTTATATTTCTCCTTTGTTTCGTTTCCCTTGTTTCTCTTTGGTACATTCTTTCTTGTCTACTTCTATCGTTCTCCTGTGTGCTCTTCCAGATTTCCCTCTCCGTTCTTATCTCTTCTCTTCCTTTGTTCCCTTGTTCCTTGTAAGTACTGTTTTCCTTTGACCTGTTTAGATTTCCTTCCCTGCGTCTTACGTCTTCGTTGTATATTTTTTTTGGGCTTGTTATTCCTCTGTTTCTTGTTACTTTTGGCCACTGCTCGGGTGCCTCGTACCTGTCATATGTCGATACAGGGTCCTTCTCCCGTCCTTCCATTATTCTCGCTGCACTGACATAAGATACATTATGATATGCCATTATTACCTGTAAATCTCTATTTCTTTCGTATTCTCTACATCCTCTGTATATGGATCTGTGCTGGTCTCCACAGTTTCTACATTGGTTCAATCTATCGCATCTTCCGTGTGCTATGTCCCCGCATATTATACACCTTTCTTCGCTTTTGCACCATGCCTTTATATGTCCATATCTAAAGCATTTAAAGCACTGTTTTACTGGTGATACGTACGGTCTTACCTTGAGAAAGACTCTATTGTCCCAGAGGCCAATTTTTTCTTTTATGTTTCCTCCTTTACTTGTGATTATAATGTTTTCTGTTTCCTCTTCTTTATATTTTCTTTCCTCCTTATTCCATCTTTTTTTAAACATTCTTTCCATCTTTATGACGTCTGAGTGGTCTTCCATCGCTTCCCAAAGGTCCATGATCGAATCCGGCCAGTCCGTGATGACTCCTTTACTCGAGATCGCCCTTATGTCGATACTTGCCATTAGTCCACTTTCTTCTTGATCGATATCCAGTTTCTCTAAACAGGAATTTGCTTCATAGCTATTCTCAAACTTAACTTCTGCTGTAGCATGACTACTCATAATAGCCTCCGCTGGTCTAATATTCTTACTTAGCATGCCTTTCCATATCTTTATAAAGTTCTTACCTTGTTTCGGGCTAACTTTTCCTCTCGTTAATCTAACTCTAACCTTACATGGTCCCAAGTGAGTTTCCTCGAATCTTCTTTTCTTTCCGGCTTCCATTTCCGTCACATCAATTTCACTCATTTTCTTTAATGTTCCTTTGCAGTTAAAGTAGATTTCTTTTCCGTTCACCTTATCCCTGTTACCATGTGGCTTCCCGTTGCTTACATCATCTTGTTTACAAACATAACTGCCCTTTGTCTTCTGTTGTGGTTGTGGTGTGACCTGTTCGTTCTTGTCCTGTATTCCCTCCCCCTCTTCTAGATCCATCTCGTCACTCAATTGCTCGGTCCTTGTCTGTCTTCGTTCTTTCCCATCGGCCCTCTTGTTCTCTTCCCGCTTTTCTTTGTCTTGTTTCGCTTTTTTACTATTAACGACATTCCAATCATTTTTTTCTATACCGATTATTTCACATATTTCCTGTGAAACTTCTTGCGACAGTACTCTTTTGACCCCCACATTATCCGTCTTTTTGGTGTTAAGCGCTTGATGTTGCATTTTCGACGTTATCGTACACCTCTTAACGTCCTTTTTCCTTTTACCCGTTTTTACAGCATTAAACCCGCTCGCCGTCCCCCCGAGTTCGGGGGGCACGGTATTCTTATTATTAAATTTTCCAATTCTTAAATGACACCTCTTCCCCCCTTTTCTATACCCTCTTTCTCTACTCTACACTCCCCTCTCTCTCTCACAACTCTAAAACCTTAACCGTATCGCACTCTCTCAAAACACGTCTGTTCGCTACGAAGGCTCAAGCCGAACTCCTTGCGCCTTCAACCTATACAGAGAGGTTATATTGAAACCGACATCAGAGTGTAACGTCCGGCGCCAGTACTACGTCGCCGAACGTTTTTTCCAAACACGCTAGATGGCGCCACTCACCCTATTTCTGTGGCGTCGCGATCGCGCTGGTTGGCGCGTCGGTCGTCGCCTTCCGTTCTCCCGCTCTCTCTTTGGGTAACCAGCGGACCGACAAGATCTGCGAGCGTGAATATCCCGAAAAGTAGGCCTGTAGCCGTAAGCTAACGAATTGTCCTAGTCTAATC